GGTTGGAGTTGATAGCAGCTTAACTAAACTTCACAGTAGGTTGCATTAGAATCATAAAAGGAACTTCAGGGATCACCTAGGTTACCTACCATGTTTTATCAAGAAATTGAGGCCACCAAATGCTGATACTGACAGTGCCAAGACAACTACCTAGATCTCCTGGCTTCTAGTCAAGTAAATGTTCCTTCTGTTTTTCATATTAAATTTAACCAAGCAATCCATAACAATTCAAGAGGATACTTGTTGCAAAAAAAAAAAAAAAAACTAATTATAAAGAATTACTGTTTAAAAATACACACACACAAATATATTCATTTAAGTAAACAAGAGTAGTCAGTTTACTTCTTAATTTTTTCAAACTCATCCAGAAATTTCTTGTCAGAATTGTATTTTTTTATTATTTTTTAAAATTTGCTAGAGGGTGAGTGCACTTGCCAGGGAGAGATGTGAGGTCAGGGGGTAGTGAGAAAACACCCACCGTGGCTGCAGGTCAAGATTTGGGGTACACATGCTCCTGAGTGTGTTTCTCAAGCCACTGGGTCTGGGACCTGAACCGTTCAGTTGGCCATGTGGAATCCAGTTGCCTAAACCACCACAACACCAGCTGGCCCCATAGATTTTTTTTTTTTTTTTGTTTTGGTCAAATCACTTACTTCTCCTGCAACTTTCAAATCATCCCCTGCTTGCTCTCTTCTCTGTGCTTGCTCGCTCTGTCTCTCATGCACAAATGCACACACTCTCTCCCCCTCCCTCCTAAAAACAGTGGGGATGGGAAGCAGAAATCAGAAATTTTCTTTCTAATCCTTCTGTATTTGAGTCAGGAAAATTGACCCATTCATTTTGTATCCTCAATAGCAGACAGCAATTTTAAAGGAAGAATTTGTTTCTAGGACTACTTTTAGTATAAATCTTAGACTATTATTTCATAAATCAGCTTAATCACCAAAGAAACTGCCTGATCAAAAGATTTCACAAGTTCAAAACATTCCATTAGCCCAATAAGAAAAAAATATTAATGTGCACATACACACTTTTTTTTTTTTCACTTTCCCAACCTTTCATTTTTCCCAAAGCCAACTTTATCAAAAGTCAGTAAAACCAAGAATGGGAAATAGACCATGAGGCCACATGAATTCATTTTGTCAGGGTATAGTAGCAAATGACAGAAAAGTGTGTTCAATTCTGACTTAAGTCTTTATTCAGTTAAAAATGATAAAATGCTATATTAGATTTTTTTTAATTAGCAATATAGGACTAATTCATAAGAGTTACCTCTTTATCACATTTCCTTTAAATGTATGTTTAAAGGAATATCGAAAGTCTGCTTTTAAAAATAGACTTCAGGGACTATCAAAACCCTGAGCATTATTTTACTAGACTACTTTTCTAAAAGCAAATGACAGTAGCTTTTTGATAGGCAAAAAGTCATCTTTTAAAATCTAAAATAAATTTAACAAAATATTTTAAGATATATTACACCTGAATCCTTAGGGAAGGAATAGCTATTTAACACCTTGGAATGACCTAGTGTTCTCTTAGCAAACTTCCCCTTCCCCTAAGCAAATTGCAAATTAAAAAAGATGATTCTGGTTGTACTAACATCATATTTGGAAATGCTGCGACTATTTAGTAATCTGTTTCACCCTTGCAGAAAGATCTCTAACATAACCCTTTAGATGTGGCATGGGTATGTGTACACACATATATGTATACATATTTTTAATCCTTTTTCTCTAGAAATTATATTTTTAACAGCTGTGCATTCTTAAGCGAATTATATCTTTCTAATACTCAATTTTTTCATCTGTGAAATGGGGATAATAAAAGATATTATGTGGGGTTGTTGTAAGGACTGGTTTAATGTTAAATTATTCTCCCCTATAAATGTCCTAGATGTATAAATAATCATTCCCCCGAAGTACACAAATTTAGTGGGACATCTGGTGTTCAACTATGAAATTCCCTTTATCTTATTTCTATCAAAACTGGCTTCCCATGAATTCAAAAGCATCAAACAATGTGACTCGTGCCATGTAAGAATATACTGGTAGCATGAAAGACAAGTGATCTTTCCCTGGATCTATTTTTAGGAATGGTTTAATTATCTACACTCCTACTGTTAACACTGGAAAATAAACAAATGGGTGAAAGACATCACAGAGAGTCACTCAGATCAACAGTTTCATAGTATTCAAAAATAAGAGGGATGAAAAACATTTAGATTATTTCTCTCTCACTAGTAATCCTTACCGACAAGGCAGGCCAGAATGTGTAGAGGTTTGAGAGGAATTTGCCGAACTGATCAATTCAGACTGCAAGGTTCAGAGGTTCCATGTTTAAAATATAACCAGTGAGAAAACCATAATTCAATAGTTGGTTTTCAGTAAATCTACCTCACAGTGTCAAAAGAAATGATTTTTTTTTTTTTTTTTTTTTTTTTTTTTTTTTTTTTTTTTTTTTTTTTTTTTTTTTTTTTTTTTTTTTTAGTTACCTAGCTGCTTCATATGGGCAGAAAACAATCATGAGTTTCCATATTAAAATATATTTATATCTATACTATTACTTATTCTCACCTAAAGTGGGGAAAAACTGACCCGATTCTCTTGTCAGGCAAAGAAAGGTATCATGGTTAACAATTATGACATCACCAGCGACCTGATATTCATAATTATCTATAAAGATTAAACCTACAGCTAGAAAACTGCCAAAGAAACAGCTGAAATTTTTGTACCCCTATATACTCTTTTCCTGTTAAACTAAAGTGTGGTAACTGACGCATTTTCTATGAAAGAAGAGCTCTGATAAAGCACCAACAATTCAAACTCTCTCCTTACACCATGCCATTTCCTTATTCATCTTATTCTATTAATGGAACATAATCTTACCGGAAAAGGAAAAATGTTGTCAGCCCTGTTCAAGCTATCTTCCATCCAGGATTTAGGAGCAAAGGCTGAGCTGGGACGAGCATACTTCTGGAGCTGAATATGATTGCTTGCAAAATTTTTCTTCAAAGGCGAGATGGAGTTCAGGGGTGTTATTCCACCATTCAGCCCTCTTCGGTGATCTCGGCCCTGGGAACCTCCCCAGCCACCATAACCACCACCTCCTGGGCTCCAGGAAGAAGAGGGTGTTGGAGAGGGACTCTGGTAGCTGCTCCACGGAGAGGGGGGTTTGTTAAGATTATTCGCCAAATGAGGCAGCTGGTTAAAAGCAGCGTTTCTATGTGTGAAGGGTGGGGGATGGGGACTGGCAGGAGACCTCCTTTGCTGCTGATGCTGGCTGTGATGATGCTGGAAATGAGGGTGATGAGGGTGGTGCTGCGAGAGAGGCCCAATCTGAGGGGAGAAGCTGCCTCCGAAGCCAGGGCTGACATGGTGGGGAAAATTTTGAAACAACAGAGCACCGTTATTAGCCGAAGCGGCAGGGACCCCTCCCTGGTGAAAGAAACTTGCATCTTCGTTGATTATTGTAGAGGAAGAAGGCGCTATGGCCGCGGACCAGTTACTGAAACCAGTAAGAGAAGATGCACTGGATGTCAAGGGTTGGGTGGAAGTACCTAGCCCCGTGGCTTCTTGATAATCAAACCCTGTCAACACTGGTGACTCAATTCTTATTTTCTCCTTCCCATTGCCGTTTTCGGAAGAATTGTCCCCTTGATTTTCTTCAGATTTGGCCTTCTCGGTTTCAGGCAGTATTCCAGCTTCCTGGCCTGGACTCGGGGAAAGCTGCTGCTTTTCTAAAGGGTCTTGCTGTTCTTGTTGCTGACTTTTTGCTTTTTCTGACCCCAGGATCTCATCCTGAATGTTATGGGTAGCTGGAGCAGGAAAGAGCCAAGCTGACCCAGCACTGCTGCCATTGGCAGCTGTGTTATTATTTATAAAAGCAGCAGGGCTGGGGGTGGCATTTTGGTGATGGTGTGGAGGCTGCAGATGTGGATGGAATCTGACTGGAAAAGCAGATTTATTCCCAGTATTGCTTTGCACTAGCACTCCAAACCCGTAATCCCCCATTTATTATTTTTAGGATCAGAATCTCACAATAAAAAAATGACAACCTGATCTCTCACACCTTTTTTTCCTCTACCCAAAATTTAAGTTGTGGGTTTACTTGAAATGTCTTATTTATAGCTAGCTTAAAGATCACAAGTTATCACCCTAAATAGTTCTGATTTGGAATTATGGTCTCTGAAAGGAAAAAAAAAACACAAAAAATCTTAAAACACTGACATGAATCCAATTGGGCTTATTTCTAGGAGGAAATAAAAATGAAGAGGGTAAAAATCAAGTCTTTGGTTAGTAAAATAGGCGCTTTCTTTTTCCAAAGGAAAATGTACATGAATGACAAAAACACAGCTTCTCAAGCATCTATGGATGTAGAAGAATAAGCATTGCGCGGAGTAAAAATATATTTATATATAATTTAACAATCACATATGGTCTTCCTCAGCAGTTTAGATTCACTCACATAAAAATTAGAATAGGCTAAGGGGAGAATACGTTCTTTTCTTGGCAGCTTGGTTAAAAAAATCAGGAATAATTTAAGAACATTATATATTATATATTTATATATATAGATTATATTAGGTTATCTGGGGCGGGAGGTGAATTCCTGGTTGCAGGAGAAGAAATCAGCATTGACTAATGGAAAGATGATTGCAGGGAGGATTTTGCTGTTCCTGGTCCTGTTTCTGCTCCTTCGCAGGGTGCAGTTTTGGCCTCTGGGGCTGTTCCTGAGGCTCCGGGTGCAGATCTTGCTGCGGTCGCTGTTCCTGGGCTCCCCCC